TCCCAATCTACTGTTTTCTTATGTAGGCCTACCTCGACAGGCAAAACATTTTCGACCCTCCTTTATTCGAAATTCTGATGGGCGGATTAGTACTGGCAAAAGATATTCGTCACATCACAGGTGCTGCTGCCTGTCTTTTGTCCGGCTACTATATGATGGCCATCGCATTCTGTCAAGGTGCAGAGAAGACCTTGCTCTTCATGGATACAAAGTATTTTTTAAAGTCCTATTGAGCTGCCCGTGAAGGTGCTGTACATGCTTAACATTTACGTCAGCTTTTTTGTGTCTTTGCAGGGGTCTCACGATGGTCATCTTGAAGTTCGGGTTTTTATTTTTATATTTTTAATATATAAGAATACTGACAAGTGGCTATTTGCTAACAACTTTTCGTTGCTGTGAGCACTCTGCAAAAAAGCTTACATTTTAGCGATGTCGTTTGAGTAGGTAATTCAACATTTAATTGTTGCCCCGCAATGACGTCAAAGCAAGGGGTGCAATTGCAATGCATCCCCCCCCCCCCTCCTCCCAGGCATTTCAGGGATTTCTAGCAAATGATTCGGGGAAATTGGAGGGAAATCCCACTCCCGCCTAAATACTCACGATACAGATAAAAATGGCTTACGAAAGCTGCGTATGTGCATTTGGTTTTCAGCTTCTTGCAAAAATTAAATATCAAGCTTCAGTCTTGCAAGGTGGCCTAGGATTTTTTATCAATGTTTCAACCTCAGTGCACAAAAGTTATTTTTTTCGTCATGAACATTTTTTGTTGACGTTACACTTTTGGGGACACTACACATTTTTTGCAGACTTTGAAAGTCTTTATATTGAATGGAAATAAGTCAAAGTTACATGGACAAAGTTCAACGCCTATGAGTCTTTGAAGTGTGTCATTTGAGAATACCAGAATTTTTATATTATAGTTGTGTACTCAGTTTTATTCTAATGTCCAATAAACGTCGCTATACATCAGCAACTGTATCGTCTCTTGATTTCACCCATGGCCATAGACAAGTTCGAGATTCTAGGGCACCTCTTGTTCCCCTTACATATATTGCCCTATACCTCTATACTTAATGTTGACATAAGCAGCAATTATTAATGTGCTCCTGAAGCACCATCGAAGCCAGCAATTTTTCAATAGAGGTAAAGCACCAAAAGAAAAGCCATATTGTTCCAAACCTTTTTTTTGGCCGTATTTGAGATACTAAAAATGCTGAGTTTTTATGAGCTTTTTGAAGCTCATAAAAACAACAGATAAAAAAGGTAACTCAGAACACACAACCCTTGAGGTATGTATTGCCCCTTTTATCTGTCGTCTCCTAATTAAAATATATCTTCAAATGTTCCTCGAAAAGAACTCACTTATTGCAAAAAGAGCTTAAAAGAACTCTGCAAATGTTCTTTACGAAGGCAGTTTTTCATAAAAAAAGATCTTAGAATAATTCAATAAGGGTTCTATATGGTGAACTGATTCATCGAAAAACGAGCTGATAAGAACTTCTGAAAGGTTCTTGATGAAGTACTGTTTCATAAAAAAGTGCTTAATATAATTCCTGAATGGTAGTCCACAAAAAAACTAATCAAAAAGAACTCAAAATAAATTTTTAGAGGTTTTTCACAAAACTTTCGCATCAAAAAAGGAACTTTCACGAAGATCCCTTTGAGGGGGGCTTAAAAGAACTTTTTAGGGTGGAACATATAAACAAGCCGAAGAATCCTTTAAAGTTCTTTTACGACCAGATGTTTTTTAGAGTGCGGCAAAAAAAGTATAGGGGAGTGAAATTTCATAAAAAATTCTGTTAACAAGTACTTGTACTTTGCTCTGAAAGCATATTGTACTTATAGTATTTTGCTTCAAGTACATTGCGCCCGGTGTACTTAGTACTTTACTTCAAGTACATCACCTCTAATTTACTTTGTACTTCAAGTACTTTTTAGATGTACTTTACCCAACACTTATATATTTCGCACCAAGCATTAAACCATCATTTCATTTCATTTCATTTATTAATCCTTAAGGGTCCTCTGTCAAGGACATTACATCATTTTTTTTTGTTCTGCTCATTGGTGCTGCGGCGTAACGTGCCAAGTCAGAGACGCACGCAGCCCTTCGGCGTGCCAAGGCATGTGCCTTGATGACGCCACAAGACTTGCGTTCGATCAGTTGTGCCTTGTTCCTGCGGTGCTGCACTTTCGTAAAAAGGTCCACGTGTTCTCAAAGGTAACTACGACCGTTCACACAAGGTTTACGTCGAATGACGGCGAACGAGCAGAAAACGTGTCTTCCAGCACGCTGCTGCCCAGCCTCTGCAACGCTCCAAAATATCGACTTCCGGTAACCTCAGGCTGGCCGAAACGGAACTTGAAGGTTGCCGCGCTACTCCCGCTACACTGTACTCGCGCTGCAGCAAGCAAGTAGGGATGCGCGATCCAGCAAATTGTCATAGAGATCAGTGTTTGAGACTTCGTGTTTGTCCTGCCTCTTTTTTTTTTACCCTAGTCTCGGAGGGGTTCTCGTAAGTATAAAGTAATGTGCACATATGGGTAGTTGAGTAAAACGTTTGTGGGAAATCCAACAGAAATGCAAATTTTGAATATGTAGAAAGTCGGACAAAATCCTAGTGCAAAGTATAAAGAAACATGTTTTTTTTTATATTAAATAAATTACGCATCGTCGATCGCTTTGCCCCCGCCCGAATGTAGCGCTAGGGGTCCTGACCAGACACCAAATTTTGAGTTTGCCGTTCCGATTAAGAATATGCGATTTCAGGAAATTTTTTGTGAGGAAATGGCAGCCGACGAAGCCCACGAATGCATGGAAATGAATGGCGTCGGCTACCGGAAGCGGGCCCCATTTTCTCAATGAAACTTTAAAAATGTCGCGTAATATAACTTAAGCTTTAAAACTATGGCATTTGGTCCGGACCGCTAGCTGTAGACTTAGGCGGAATAAGCGTTTGGCGATGCGTTGTTTATTTTTCCAGCGAAATGTTTTTTTTTTTATTTGCAGACACTTTTTACATTGTTAGGCCAAATTGAACGTGCAGGAATATGAAGCATAATCATAGTGTTGTGATCAGTTATGTTCTTTGTTAATAGCATTCAATGGCCATCAAATAACACAAACACAACTGAGCAGACCTAAACATGTAGCAGCATAATCCATTGAGAGCGAAATTTCTTGACTAGCAGTACATGCTTCATTGAAAGGAGCATGCCGGTCAGGTTCCCGGTCAACTTATTTGAGAAGTACCCGGGATTACTGCAATAAGTGTTATTTCGTGCTGGTGAACAATCATACCGTATAGCATTAAAAAAAATCCGTAGATAAGGAAATAAAAATGGGATAACCATGACAACTGGGAGACAGTGTGTTAGTTGTCCATTGTTTATTCCCTTGTCTCCTTGGCCATTCCCGCATTCCAAGCTTCAGATCAGATATCCACGTCTTCAATCACATTTCTGGGTAACTTCATATAATATTAAACGCATTTACTATTCCAAATTTTCAGAAATCTACTGGCTATGCACATAATTGGCACAAAGTGCCATTTCGGGAATTGTTTTCTACACTAGTTGTTCGAGGTCTCCCTTGGCTTCACGTGCATCCCCCCCCCCCCTCCCCAAGTCGGAGCTTTTCTGCAGTGTTACTAATAACACCAATGAGCAAAAGTTCTAAATATTCGTGCTATCATGTATTGGTGCTCATAAATCTTGCTTTGGGTCTATCCCCAAAGTTAGCTTTATCTAAACTATAACACAATTTCCAGTCCCAGACTGCAGCTTCTCTGCGGTGTCCCCTATAGATGCATCATTGTGTAAATGTTGTTGCTCATTGTGCCTGACCATGTTCCTCGATGTGAGTGGGTTTCGGACTTCCATCAAGAGTCCAGTTTTGCAAAAAGCCTTGTTTTCACGAGCAATTCTGTTAGAATTTGGCCTACAGCTCTACACTTACCTTGGCGCCGCATGGCCTCTCTTGCTCTTGTGAAATTGAGTCATTAAACACGTCATCAACTTCATGATTAACATCACACACACACACCACGTCTACGCGCACACATCTATACGCACACGCACGCACGCACGAAAAAAAAAGTTGCACATAATTTGTGATATTGCGCTTGACTTTCACAGCTTTTAAATGACAGTTTACTGTTTTGGCATTGTCCACATACATTGAGTAGGGCTGGGTGACAACGAACTTTTAACCAGATTGTCTGACGCCCTTTAATAGATGTGTAATTGGATTCATCACATCATTTTATATTACAAGCGTACCAGTATACATTTTATTTCTCACGTCTGCGTGACAACAGTGTCATACGCAAATGTTGTTCATGGCTATTTGCGATTGCACGCGGGAAGATGAGTTTAAGATGGAACGCAGTTTTGGACAATTCTCAAGTGTTTGCTGTTTGTTATGCAGCACCATGGTTCTGTGTAACTTGTAACACTCATTTTGGCAGTCATGTCTGCGGTACTAATCAGGTGCTCACATATGGTTGATATAGCTGGCACATTCGGGATCGCTTTAACAGGTCAAACGGAATGCAGTTACTGAAACGCCTGTTTGATGCTGAGCACTCGTCTAGCACATAGGTTTTTTGCTTTTTGAGGTAAAACCGACTCTATCCTTTGGGGTTGGAATGCCTTTTACTATTGCACTTTGACTATGACTATATAAGGACAACTGGTGAGAAGCGTGCAAACTATGTCAACCAAAGCGGCACAAAAATGTTAAGCGTTTGTTGTATTTCTGTTCTGCGTGACGTTATGTAACTCTGGCCGTAACCAATGAACTGACTAAAAATGTTTTGAACAATTAAGCGTCACTTTAAGAAATGTTAATTAATCAGTTGCCCCATCCCAATATTTGGCAATCTTATACATTGCTTGAAGGGTTTGCACAGCCGTGTGTTTATGTATAGTTGAATGTGATCATTCCTACTCCGTGTTCCTGAAAGACGATGTAGCAGTGATGTGTACTCTTGGTGCAGGCCATCTTTGGCCAGACCTTATTCGGGGAGCAGCTGACCTTTCTCTGGTGGCTGGGGACCCTGTTCATCCTCTTGGGACTACTCCTCATGCACCGCGGCAGCCTCGAAGAGAAGAGGAACTTGGCTGGTCCTCAGCACAGCCGCTCACCACCCAAGCGCTACAAGTGCTCCTAAGTGTACCTTTCTGCACGCTCTCTCCATTTCCTGATTACTCTGGCTACTTTTAATTCCGAGATCGGCTATTTATGGAAAGAACTCAATCTACGGCCTCCAAGCATTCTAGAAATACAAGGAAAAAAAGAGAAGAAGATTAGAATGATACGCGTTCGGTTTCCGTATTAGAAACAAGATCAAACATCGTGACACGCCTGTTTTTTGTCTTTTTTTTTGTGTGTGATTTGGCGTTGAAACGAGAGGACGTCGTCGAAATGCGACAGCGGCCGGTCGCGGGCATCACTTCCCGTGTAGCAAGGGCAAAGGGACTGACCACTGGGCGGACTGATTTTCGAATGGATGTGATTTACGCGCGGGCGGCGATCACTCGCGATTGGCTGTCGCACGTCCGACGGCGCCCTCTGTTTTCTTCGCCCAGCCGTCGAGATTCATGATCCCGTTTTACATCGGTAGCTAATAATACTCCTTCCCGGCCAAAAAAAAAAAAAGTTTTGTGCGATTGCAAAGTTTTACTTTACAGCAGAGGCACTGCTCTCTCTCCCCCCATCGTTCTTCACACACGGCGAGGCGCTCCTCTCGCTCCCCCTTCCTCCCCTTAGTAAGCCGCCGCTGTTCTTTCTGCGGCGACGCTCTCCCTTCCCTCCTCTGGTAGCCCCTGTTGCGAAATACCCACGTGGTCGCGCAGTGCGGCGGTGCGGACACGCTCCCTCGCCACCCCACTGCCGCCGCCCAAGTTCCGTTCCCAAGTCACTCTCCGCGCCTCTACAGGACAACTCGCGTACACGTACTTTTGCTTCTTCCACCACAGGCGCGGTCACGGGCGCCCCCGTTCCAAAAAAAACGTTCCAGCAAAAAAACAAAAACAAAAATACACGTTTTTTTTTTTTAACAGATGCAACATTTTGCACAATTGTTCTATTAAAGCACGCACCTCCTCACACACGTCTCTGACATCAATTCCACTGAAAGCAAAGAACCCGCTGAAAACTGTACAGCACACTGGCCTTCAACATGCCTTTCCACAGTACGTAGCAGCTACCGCTGTCAATCGCAGCACACTTTGTCTGGTCGTTTGCATTTTTAATCGGGAAATCGGACGCATGCCTATCTAAATTTGGGTTTCCTAGAACACTTGGAAGGCCGCAGATTGAGTTATGACCATAAATAGACGATCTAAGAAACCACTTCAGTGCCCGTTTAACTGGATTTCCCTGCTTCACGGATCTTTATCTCTCCTCCTCCTCCCCCCCCCCCTCCCCCCCCCCCCCCCCCCCCCCCCACCCCCCCCCCCCCCCGCCCTCAACTTTATAAACCCTGCTTCCATAAAAAGGTAAAAGGCACATACATTTTCGATGACAATGTCTTGTATATAAGCGACGTGAGCATGCGAATGATTCGTGAGTCTTTATAAGGCTTTGGGCATGTAGGTCAGTAAGTAGATTTTTAGTTTTTTTAATGGCCGGTGTGTGCACCTCACGTGTCACATATGGATGTCGAACGGACGCTTCAGGGTTGCGCCAGACGATCGAGCAGTCAGTGTAGCAACCCCCAGGTAGATTAGGAGTAAATGGTATCTTGAGCGGCTCAGCTGACGGGTGGCGTAAAGAGCATCAACTGTGCTTAAGCCAATCTTTATGTCACAACTTCCTGGGCTTTTGTGTTTGCCACCAGGTTGCAAGAAAGTTGATGGCGTGTTTCGTTTTCGCTTGGGTTAACATACTTCTTTCTGTCATAAAGCTGGTCACTATAGCTTCTACGCGAACGGAGCTTGACCTCTGAAAGTTAATTATGCCTGGTGTGTTTGTTCTTAGGTTTGTGTGCTCTGATTTGAAACTTTGGCCACGTCATTTTCATACTGGTTGTAATTCTGAACTACTGTGAGTGCAGATATGGCTGACCATTATTTGTGTGTAGCAGATCAAATGCTTGAGGGTCGTTGATCGTGTTGCATGTTTGGGACCTATCATTGAACGGAAAAAGTCAGATTAAGCTGCGATTTCTCAATGCGGTAATGGCTTTAGTTTCAGTGGTTGTAGTGCTGAAAATATCTGTATAATAATATCTAGTGTGTTTCACCCTATTGTATTCGTATCAAAGTGTGCTATGGAGTCACAGTTTTATGGCGTTTGACGTTCAATGTGCGTTGTGTTTGTTGTCAGCATTTGTCATTACACTTGCCTCGTGCACGAGGAGTTGTCTGTTTGTGCATTAAAATGTTCTGGTATGGCCTGTGATGAAAGTCATTACGAGAGGATGTTAGGCTCTGTGCTTAGCAGGTGAAACAAATACAAAAAGAGAAATAAGATGCTTAGGAATGGTAGTGATTCGCGAGGAAAGTAAAACATAACATTTGTTTGTTGACCAGTGATTGGGCATTTCCACTGTAACTCTACAATCGAGTTTGAAAATAACCTGTTGCAGAAGTGACCACGCCAAAGCCATATAGTGTTTGTCTTTCACGGTATACTTCTTGAGTCTGCCCCATTCTTGTACAATGGCAACCGCTTGCGCTCCTGTCGCTTGTAGTCACAGCTGCCAGTGGCGTTTACACTGTTCTTGTTCCCTAAATTATACACTCCAGATACATTCCATTCCACTGTTGAGATAACTAGAAATATGCACTGATAACCAAAGAGATGACCCACATTAGCCGGAGGGCAAGTCACACGGAACTGAAGGGTGGTGAACTCTTTCATTGTACGGGCGCAAAATTCTTTGGAGTTGCCTTTCGCGACTGTTGCGCACTCCAAGTCCAATCGCCGTCGACTTCTTTCACTTGGTCGGGAAGCACTTATGTATCGGGTGCTCCCCGAAGCACCGAGTGTGACTGGTGTGAGGAAATGCACTCTTTCAATTGGGATGTAATAACCTAGCTACACGGGCACCATTAACCGCAGTTCAGTCACCTTTAACAGAAGTCACACTTAGCCAGAGTTACCACACTGTACTCTCGGACAGCTATCTTAAAAGTGAAGAGGGCGCGTGCACAGCTTTGATGGGCACTCAAGATGCGGAAGTGCGCGCGCCCATTCCTTTAACTGCATCGTCACAGAAAGTTTGCCAAGAGTATAGCGTGGTAACTGTGGTTATGTTTAACTGCAGTCGGGCTTGCCCGTAGTTCGGTATTATACGTTGTCTAATCATCACTTCTGTAATTGATAAGTCCCGAAGCTGCCGTGAGAAATGGACTCATGACTGCCAAGAGAGAGCCATCCTTGCTTAGCTATAGACCGTTTTCGTGTGACGGTTGCCATGTTGAAATATGGCGCAGTTGAGTTGGGCGTCAAAAACTAAGGTAAAGGGTTTAAACTTAACTACAATAAAAAAAATATAACGAAGAAAAAAATTGGCTGCATATTTGCTTATTCTGCCAATCGCATGTGCGGTAGCTTTATAGCGTGGGTGGTGTCTAGGGCAGGATGCCCTTTAATCTTTCAGTGCCCGGAATGTGTGGTGCTCTTAGTTCAGGTGGTGCCTAGGGTAAGGTTTTGTATGGAAACAGATTATGTCACACCATTGTCTCTTTGTGACGCTGGGCGCGCTTCCCTTCAGCATTACCCGCGGAGACACAACCTTTGCGATGAATTTTCTGGGTCAACAAGAGGGGAAGCGCGTTTTCATGCCCTTTCACTCCTCAGTCCGCGCGCTCTTTCTACGCCACCTGTACGTTTCTGCTTCTCTTTCCCTTTCCACTCCTCTCTGCTCCTCGCGCTTTCTCACACCACCTGCTTCTGCTCCTCCCGTTCCTGCATGCTGGGTCCGTAACTCAGTCAGCAGCGCACTCAGCTTCAACGCCGGTGTCCGAGGTTCTATCCCTGGCACCGGTTTCCTTTTTTGTTTTTAAGATTGTTTAGCGGTTACGGACTGACCGACCTACACTCTTCGTGCTTACGCGGCTGGTTGGTTGGTTTGCCCTATGAAGCTAACGCTTTAAAAGTAGAACTATTGGCACGAACCCCTTGAACTCTATCGCATTCCAATCGGCAAATAAAGTCATTTGCTATTTTGCCCTAACTCAGCTACGTCAAAATTCAACGTAACGGCGCCACAAAAAAAAAAAAAAAAAAAAAAAAAAAAAAACTTTACTTTTTTTTTAAATTTGAGGCGAGGAAGGGCCATTCCTAGGTGAGCCAAAGTGCCACGTTGTATGTTTATCAGTGTGATTGTTGCCTTTCTCCCAATTACATCTCGTCGCTTTCAAATATGTATGCTGATTTGATACTGTCACGATGTACTGAAATGCGCTTTTGAACGTTCTTTATGCAATAAACGATGCTGGTGTAGGAAGTCTGTCCTGGCATGAAACCTCAAGTAGCTCTCCAGGATCTGATCCAACGCGAGTGTAAGAATTTTACGTCACGTGTAGTTTATTTTTTTTTATTTGCGCATGAAAATTGATGTTGCCCGGTAACGCTAGTAAGTAAGCCACACAGAGAAAATTCCGTTTGTAAACATGTTTATCGGATCTAAACTCTGTTTCAGTTCCTATAGTAGAACATAGGTTCATGGAATCGAGCATACAACAGTTCCATCTGTGCTATCAATGACCACGGAAGCATATCAGAGAAGCATGCGGAACGAAAGGCACTTCGTTTATAACGAACAGAAACACAAGCGCTGGTGTTTATTGCTGATCGATGCAATTGTAGAAGTTACGGATAAGTTTCATAGTATTGACGAATTCATGCGGAAAACATGCGAGGCTTTGACACGTTAAGAAGAACGCCCGTTAATGGTTTCTCACTGAATATTTAAACCTAAGGGAGAGCATAAATAAAAATATATAAAAAAATATTATCTGCAGGTGTAAAGAAAAATAATCCAGCACATTTTCGTACAATTGAACATTCGAAATCAAAGAAGCTTATGTATTTTGCCTAACCTGTAACATTATCTTCACAACCGCCTAAGTTTCTGCCTGTATCTTCACGCCTAGATTTGAAGTATTCGTAACTAGGGCACAAGTTGATCCTCTATTTCGCTGTAATGGTGAGTCCACCATTTTTTAAATATATATATAACATTGCAGTACACATAGCTCTGTATGTCCGCGATCGTCATAAGTAAGCACCTGTAGTGCGATCATGATATTTCACACAGAACAAAGCTTACTAGAATAATAATAATAAAAAAAATCTTTTCAACAGCAGAAGTCTGGAACAAAATAGGTTTGGAGTGCCTGAGGCGGGAATAGTAACGGCTAAATTTGTATTAATAAAAGAAAAAAAAATCTCAATAAATACATTTGAGGGAGGCAGGGAGGCATGACTTCGCACGAAGGCGTTTTCAAGCGGCGAGTTTGTCGCGCTGAAATTCTGAAGACTTAGGTTGTAGAACTCGGAATATTGTAACAATGTTTTTTATTCATTGATAGTATATTGAAAAAAAAAAAAAAAAAAAAAAAAAAGAAAAAGAGGAAAAAAGAGGATGCTTTGGCTTATAACTTTTGTTTGCGGAGTGATTGACTTCTAAAATCTTAATGCACCTAATAAAAAAAAAGAAAGCTTTTGTGTGAGCGTATGTACCTGTCCCGAGCCGCGGATGTGATAGGTTTATTTTACACGAGTTTGGACAAACTTCGTATTTTAACGTGCAGTATCTTCGGTATAGCTGGATACGTTATTTGTAAGCGCATTAACAAATAATGTGTTTAAGAATGGTCTCTGTCGTGAAATATAGAATATAATAAAAGAAAATAGAGTCTGTCGTGAAATGATGATTTAGTCAAAAAATTTGATGTGCGAGTGTTTTTTTTTTTTCTTTTGTCAGATCAAATTAAAATTAATAAAAAAATGTAAACCGAGAACGCTCGTTTTCTTGCCTTCTCGACAGGCTTGTACGTCAAATAGGCAAAACAAATTTAAAGGCTTTGTGCGCGATATGTGACTTCCGAAAAGTCTTTCTGTCAGCACTTGCGGATATGACGAGGTGTTCGCGTGAGCGTCAACACTCGTCACACCTTGCATAACTTGATGAGCATTCGCGTCTCTCTTGAGCCTTACAGGTGTACGTACTCGACAAGTGCGGTATCCACTTTATGTAGAGGCATGGCGTGCCTGTACCGAGGGTCCGGTGGTATCGGCAACGTTTGCCATCGCCACAGTTTCGCGGGTTTCTCGACGGCTGGGAACCTTTGCGAGCGTTCGAAAATTACCTTCAATCGAATCGGTTAGGACGATTTGTTGGCGTTCTTACATTCTGAACCGAGTGTTATCAAAAAATCTAAAAAAAAAAAAAAGGGGTGGGGGGGAGGTGTATTTTCAGGAGGCACGCGTGGTTAAACCTCCCTATAAAAGCAACAGCAAAGGCCGTATTGAATTGGTATCTTAATTTGTATTTATTAGAAGAAAAAAAAGTGTAAACGAAGGCATAATTACTTTCCCGTTAAGATGGGAGCACGATTATTATTATTATCATGGCCTGCTCACTGCCCAACCGTTCCACTGCCCTAGACAATATATTATCTCTAGTCTTTGATGCCTGTTTGCGTTAGCATGAGTCGCGGCCCAGTCCCGCTTAAAGTTAACGGTTTCATTTCCCGATTGTGATCAGCGTGGCCGTAACCCTCCTCTGTCGTTGCTGGACGAAATTCTTCCAGCAATAATTCTCCTCCGGCGACTGGAAATTAAAATTATGATCACGCGTCTCGAGTGTTTCGGTGGCAGTACACCGATAAAACAGTTCTTCCAGGCTCCTTTGTTCATTTTGTGATGTCGTTAACGTGTAGGCGAAATCGAGCCTCGCTACTGCGTGAAAGGCTTTTCAGTTGATGGTTTGAGCATTCGAAATCCCTGAACTTAGTGTCTTAGCCAAATCTTCCATCTTAGCCTGGGTAGAGCGCGGTTTCATATTAATCCTTTTTTCGAAATTGGTTGCATCTGGGATGTCGTACGCCCTTTGTCACGGAGATAAATACAAGATGATTGAGAGTCCTGCAAGACACCGTGGACTTGGACCATAAGGCATATGGGCAATTTCCAATCCCATGTCGAACTCAAAACTGCAGATTATCGTTTTTGGGCAACGCAGCAGCGAAACAGGAATATACTCGATCTAGGTTCGTGACCAAACTGGTGCCACTAATTACAGGTACTTCTAGGCGAAACAACAACCAACCTTGAAGTGAGCTAACTACGTGTACCATTGAAAGTATATTCACGTAGCCTCGCAAACTAATACCGGTGTGAATGCAGACTTTAACGTTATTTTACGATCATAGCAGGCACTCGATCCTGTTTGAATTGCTGACCAAGGAAGGAACTTCGTAGTCTAATTATTTTCAGGTTCCAGGGCCCAGGCACCGCAGCATTTTCCCCGCTGGATTTGTTCGGATGTACCGCGAACGAAACGTTTAAGATACGCTGAATGGAGGTGGATTTCTAGTTTGTGATATATTTTCTCCTCGTATTATCATTCGAAGCTGGTGTCCTTGCGCGGGTTTCAAGATTTGAACTTCTGGAGCCTGTTTGGCTCCAGCAGATCGCATAAACGTCCCTAGATAACGCTATGCTAGGGAGCGACAAGACCTCGCTCCTGTCGTCTGCTGGTCCTCCATGTTCTCGCCCACCATCGCTGTGTCATTTCACGTGACAATCCAGATAGAACGGTAGGTTGTCGAACGCCAAGGTACCAAACCGTTACTCGAGTGTGGGGTCGAGTAAATTCCGCCATGTTCTTCCTAACCGGAAACGGAACGCGGGCACGGACCGAGTGGGAGGGCGCGTCGGGACATTACTCCCCGTAGCAAAGCGTTAACCTAGAGACTTGAGATCGTATACACCGTCGGCTGCTGTCGTACTTGAAGGGTTTTCGGTGTTTCACTAGACGTCCGATTACCTCTCAGATTCATATGCTTATTGAGTAAATCATTTCCGTCTATCGGAAGGAAGCGACCGGTCTGTGCAGAATCGCGTCGTTAATTAATCGATCCTACAGGCCGCGCATACACCGTGCTGGGTTGTCTCGAGGGAATGAGTAGTGACAAATTGGCGGGGTCTTTATTTTGGGAATATCCTGCCTTCGTGGGCGCATGTGTTCCGAGTCCCGTCTTTTGTTACCGCAGTGGACGATGAACCAAGTCACTGCGACTGCGAATTTACACCCTCATCCTTGTCGCTTCCTATCTAGAAAAATATCGTGTCTGTGACGGGCTTCGTCTCGACAGGTACCCATGTTTCCCTCTCGATTAACGGAGACAAATGCCCACTTTCCTTTACCGTGAGCACAGAAGTCGGTTCGAGTCGGATAAACGAACGGTCCATATTAATGCACATGCTCAACATGTAGAAGAGTCGGTGCATGGTCATCAGCAGGTATGTAAATTTCGTACTAACGGTCGCTGTATCCTGAACCTTCATTCGACAATATTTTGTAGATTATATATATATATATATATATATATATATATATATATATATATTATTTTTTATGCTTTTGTGCAATCACCTTAGCGGAGATGGAATGGAAATTTGATTTTTGAGAAACGTTTGCGTCGCATAATCGGAGTTCTTGTAGCAGTTTGTGTTCAATGTCTGCAACACATTTTTCTACATTTTTGTTATTGTATGAATGTTTTAGCATTAAAAATTGAAGAAAAAAAAAATGTCCTAACAGCTGTACTTTGTAAACATAGCTACTGACACTGGACTTGTCTATGAACGTTGTCACTCTAGAATCTAGAGCTACATTCACGCAACAGATAAGAGCCATGCAAGCACCAACTTATTTTTAAAGATCTACTTAACGAGCTAAGAGGTCCTACTACCGGAACCTTGGGATAGAGGTCTGCATCGAGCCGATATTTAGGAGCCCGACCCGACCCGGCCCGCTGCCTCTTGGGCCCGGGCCCGCCCGCGGCCCGCTATCCATTTTCGACAGCCGGCCCGGCCCGGCCCGGCCCGGCGCTGGTTTTCAAGGGCCCTCTGAGACCCGCTCTTCTTTCGTCCAGTATGAATGCCCACAAATTGTGCGGCATGGCAGCTCGCTTGCCACTGCTACACATGTTACCTAAGGTACCCCATAGTTAATGCAGTCAACATAATTACTTTGCTGCTATTATTAGTTCGGCCAATCTGCGGGCCTAGGCAGCCCGTTAAAAAAAAATCATCCCCATCGCCCCCATCGTCTTTTTTTGCAACCAAACCCGCGTATTCAATGGGGAAAAAAAAAGAAAAAAAAATATATATATATATAAATTCTGGGTGCATTCACTCGTCCTTACATATGGTTTACGCATTCGAGGGTGCGCATTGTGTAGGCGCGTGTGTGTGCGCGTTCATGGGAAGAAGCGACTGTACGACGACGGCGTTGCAGGCGACGGGAATGAACGCCGCTGGTGCTCTGAGAGAGCATTCAGTGCACGCGCACCCACACACGCACGCACACGCACACACACACACACGCGCGCATACACGCACACACACACACACACGCGCGCGCGCGCACACGCACGCACACACACGCACACATACACGCGCTCGCACGCACACACACACGCGCGCACACACACACGCACGCACGCACACACATACACACACACGCACACACACACGCGCGGTTTCAGCATTTGAGTGTCTCCCTCGGTTGTCCCTACCCCAACAACCCAAACAAGTTTCCAAAGACATTGTAGCTAAAAAACGAACAAACAAACAAAAAAAAAAAATAAACGGCCGGTTCGGTTCGTCTCGTAGACTTGCATGGAAGGCCCGTGCCGGGTCCGGGCCCTTCGTGAATGTAGCCTTGGAGCCCGAGCCCGGCCCTCGGGCTGTCCCGTACCCGTGCAGACCTCTACCTTGGGATTGCCTGTGAGCTAGCCACCTCCAAGTTTGTGCGTCGGCCTCATGGTTGACTCGACTGGCGCCACCATCGCCCCAAATTGGCATTGCACTGAGCAACATGAAACCGTCCACAACCGCATGAGTTCGTCATGCCTTGGAACTGTGATAGCGACGATTGACCTTCAATTGCTAAACCCTGAGCAGCAAGATCCTACATGAGAGCGACGTTTGCAAGTGTAGTGCTTTGCTCCTACCGGTGATAACGTGACTTGAGCGAGGCAATGGCTTACCGAGGTGCACCATACAAGCTCGCTGCAGCGCACTGAGCATGTAGAGGCAATGTTTCCGCGCAGTATTTTTTTTTTTTTCAGTAATCTTTAGCGCGAGTTTTGGTAACAGTCGAGCATGGCAACGTATAACTAACATTTGAGTCGTTAATATAGGGGTATATACGCTATGTGAAGTCGTAATTCCACGTTGACGCTACGGTGTGCTGTCTCGGACACGCTTAGTCAGGTTGGTCCTAACGTTTTAGAGCGTTAGAGCCGGGCGACAGAGTCTGGGTGACCAGCAATGCGGTCATACCCGCAGCCCCAAATCACTGATTCGTGTCGAAGCACGATGTAGGTTAAGCGTCGGCGAAGCTTCACACTGACGTAAGGCGTCCAACGAGCGTCAAAGCTCATAACTTGATTTCTATAGACTCTGAAATATTCTTGCGTGTTTTCTGCCTACGTGATAAAATGAGCAAGTTCTCTAGGGCTCATCTATGGACTGGTGCTGTAGTCGAAAGTCGAGGAAAATCGTCTGCTGCTATAAAAAACGTGTTATTTACAGTGCGAGAAATGACTTTGTTAGGAAAAAGGCACAGCAAATTCTAGGTCTCGGAAAGAGCAACCTGCAGTACATAGCCAGCCTTAGCCTTTTAAGCAGCAGCAGCGTCCGACGTTTGCCGTTCGCATACAACGCGGGATTCGCTCCAACTGTTCCTTTTTCTCCCTATTGAACGCCGCCAGGAAATCATGGCTTCCGCGTAAATGCGCCTTCGTCTCAGCAGGATTTCAGTTAACGTTCCGGTTCCCTTCTTAATTCCGGTTCCCTTCTTAATTAAAATAGACGCTCTTTTGTAGCAATTTCCGCCTCAAGTTGTCAACGAATGCGCCGCTATAGACTAGGATTTTGTGGCGAATTTATATTCTTTCGTTTAAACGGGCGTTCTGCACGAAAAGGGATGTACTCGCGCTTTTCCGCTGCGTTAGGCTACTAGGCCCGGTAGTGCCTTGTCGCAGCTTGCGCACGCAGCCGAGGTAACTAAGGCACTATGACAGTGAAGAATATAAAGCTACTATTCCGGTCGAAAGAGAGCGTCAAGTTTCAAGAACCGGTCCAAACGTAACCTGAAAGCGATTCCAGATGCAATACTTCTCGTCCTAATTGTGTGTTACGCGTCAGCGTCTGACTATTTAGGTCGTCGACGAGCCACGAGACAGACATTCGGTGAGTGCACTGTAAGTAACTCCTCCCAAACACGATTTAACAACTTTGAGTGGTGCTGACGTTCTTTCGAGGATGGTCTACCCAGTTTATCCTCGCCCGAACCCTTCGTTGCCTTGAGCATTAACTCGCCGTTTTCTTGATTCTAAAGTTAGCTACACCTAACCAAACCCGTTGTTTGTTTGCCAGCGTGATGTTGGCTAACTCATATGGACGTCGCAGAGCTGCAAGAAAGCGTGAACTCCACGTTAATCAAAACCAAAATTCTGCGCGCAGCGGTATCAATGGTTTGCAGTGTTCTTTTTTTTTTTTCATCCGACTTCTCTTCCAGAATGTCATCGGGAGCCCTGTGCAAACTACTCTGGAGACCTTCGAAAACCTTGTAAAACCTTAGACTTGTTCAACCGGCACATTAACCTTCAAGTGACCTACGACGAACCCCACCTATAAGCGGTCCACGTCGTCCACAACAGCTCAGGGGACGTACGCTCAAGCCAGAATGCATCCGGAAGCAACGGCTGCCATAGCGGAGGACACGGCGCTCTGAAAATCGTCTTAGTGGCGGCGATGCAACGGCCGGCCGCAGAAACAACGAACGAAAATGTAGTCTGGGCGTCTGGCGGCCTACGTCAGGGCGGCCTGGTGTACGTCGAAGAGCTGGGGGCGGACGAAGTCGACGGTGACGGGCTGCGGTGCCGACGTCGTCTCGGGGACGATGGCGGCGTCAGGCCCTGGGGGCCCCGTCGACAGATGCTCGGGCATGGCTCCAGGGGCCGCACGGAGTTGTGGTAAGCCACCAGCAGCTTGCGGCACTCCTGTTCGTCATCGAAGAAGCTTTCTCGAGGGAACTTCTGCCGCAGTCGCTTCCGCTCCTGCAGCGAGACGCGATGACGATGTCATGACAGTTAATAACGTCACCATGGCACGTATGGATCGGACGATCCGTAGATATATTAAGCTCCAGTGAGTCTTTGAAACGGAGAAAGGTGACACTGGATAGGTTTCTAAGACTAGAGCGAACCTCCCGATACGCTAATTAGTAATAAACATTAATTTAGAATTCGTTTTTGTTTGTGGCCTGGAAAACGCTCCTTCTGATTACAACACTGAAACGAAAGATGTTCCGGCCTTAGAATTTAATTACAACGTTAAAGGGCGATTTTGAAAAAAAATTATCTGAAAAGAAGAAAAAAAAGTTTTTCTTTAAACAGTCTGGTTGAGTCAAGCGTGTCAAAAAAAAAAAAAAAAATTACGCGCAAAAAAAAAAAAAAAAAAATAGAGCAATATTGACGGCGCGAGACTTATTTCAAATTTTGCGCGGAAAGTTCATGACGTCACGGAATGGTCATACACTCTCTCCACCTCAACGTGATGGCCAGGCCGATCCATCCCTCCTCCACGCGCCGAAATTCCAAGAGAAAAAACAAGTGGAAAGGAGGTGAATACCGACTAAATCGCATCTCGCGCCGTCAATATTGCTCTAAAATCTTCTTTTCGCGTAATGTTTATTTTTTTAGACGCGCGTGTCCCAACCAAACTGCTATACCTTTTTTTCTTTTTAGTGGCTTTTTAATTCCAGACGCAGCCTACGCTACGGGCAGATGAGACCAATCAGACAGCGTCAAAAGCGCTCCATCATGGTGTTCGTCATGTTTCTGCACTTGTTCTATAATCGCTGAACCAATCATAAACAGAAAAGACGCAGTGACTCTCCCTTTTGAGTCTGCTTGATTGGTCCCATTACATCGTGGCGTCGGTTGCGTCTGGACTTAAACGAACTGGAGGTAATTGTGTTGGATATGTGAAACGTTCTTGCATCACAAACATTTAGCAATACTCTGAGTTTCCAAACGCCAGACGCCTACGTTCACGGCGCTCTTCATTAGATAATTTAACGCGTGGCATGTGAACACTTTGATATACTCTGTTTCACGATAACTTAGCGAACTGTGGAAGCTGCGGCCCCCGCGACCCAATAAGGGCGCCGGAGCAAGGCACGTGATAACACACCATGGTCCAGGCCACCGGGGCTTCGTAACTGCCGCAGCAACAGAGCCCTCCGCTGCAAAAGTAGTTCTAGGCTTCTTTTTCATTTAACGGCAATTGAACTCGCGCGATTCCATCTCTAACGACAAGATATGAAGAATAAAGAATCACAAATTAATGAGTTTCAATTATATTTAAACCAAAAACGTGACATCACATCCGTATCCACTCGACTGTTCTCGCCTTGTAGCGCCATGGCCTGGCATTAGCACCCGTCCCAGATTCGCGGATTCTCGCCTTGTAGCGCTTTGCCCTGGCATTAACACCCGTCACAGATTCGCGGATCAATTGAGCTTACGGTTGTCTCATGAACTGTTCCCGAAGTGCTTGCTATTCTAGCGGACGAATATGTTGCTGCGGTGGACGTACATCCGAAGTTGGTTTTGTTTCAGAGCAGACGACTCTTGGCTAGCAGACGACAGCCGGATCCTCCGGGCCTCGCGCCTCGCATTTGGCGCGGTGACACAAATGCTCCCGTGACGTCGGGTCACGTGCCTCGCTCCGACGCTTTTATTGGGTCACGGGGCCCTAGCCTCCACAGTTCGCCTAGTTATCGTGAAGCGGAGTACAGTTGTTCCTAGAATGAAGCGATACTACCGCTAATCGGTCTGATACACCTGGCGATCTTCCAGAACAGTCTCGAGCTCCCCTCCCTTAGTGCGCACAGGTGGTCGATATCCTCCTCGCCTACCTCACTGCTCCTCGCCTACCCCTTTGATCACATGACCTCCCCATTAACCAATCAGTGAAGATCGGCTCACTCCTCCTCTCCCACCCGATAGTGATTATAATCAGTGTCGAGCCTCGCGGCCACGCCTTTATCCAGCATTCGCTTGTATCTGGGCTTCACAAAATGTCGAAGACGTAGGCGAAGAACGTTTCGCGTTAAAACGTGTGACAAGGTGTCGACTTGCTATCTGCCGGACGCAGTGTGGATGCCCCGCAGGGCTTTCCCGCCAAATGCACCTCAACTCGCGGTGATGTGTCGTGACATGCGATTCCACTTCCGGCCTCCGCCGAGTACGGACGTGCGATGAGGAGCTCCAATGGAGCGGCAACAACGGCCTCGTCCAACACCACCCAGATAAGCAGAAGGCCTCCGCAGCATCATCACAGTCAGATCGATCGAGGCCTGAGATGGGGCACGAGTGGTGCGTCAGTGTTCGGCCGGGGCTCGTGTTCAATCAGCGCGTCGAAGGTCGGACTCGGGCCCAATAGTTAAGTTTGCGCGATCCGACTGTGATGGCGTTTCATGAAGGGAGAGGAGGCGATGCAGAGGCTTTGATTATTCTAAGTGGTGTTGCTTTGACTGGCGGCGGTATCATTGTTACTGATAAGTCAACTGATTATAAGATTGTTCTGCCCACCGGATACATTGCGACGAGTGCAGTATTTCTGCACTGCGACTTACATGATCGGCCCTATCGTATTCAAGACTTTAAACAGGAACTGGAGAGATTAGCAGTCCTTCAAGACCTGGCGTCGGCAGGCGCCTCTCTGATGATTCATGCACTCACTAGTCGCGAAGCAACGTTTGGTGGAAGCAAAAGAGCTGCAAGTCAAAGGAAGGTGGCGGTGCCTCGTGTTTGACCCGCCCAACATGGAAGTGAAGGTCAAACTCCATCCTTACGATGTACCCAACTGCCAGGTACGTACGGAACTCGAGCGTTTTGGTAAAGTTTCCGAGATCAGCACAGACCAATTCCGTGAGAAAGGTTTCGAAAACGTCCAATCGAATACGAGGATTGTCTTGGTGACCCTCAATGATGGAATCACCGTGGATGACATCCCAAATTAAATTCGCGTCAAGGGCTGCAAGGTTACATACTCTTTCTGGTGTCCGGTAGAGCCCCTCTTTGCCTTCGGTATCGGCACACGGTATACATTCATCAGGAAAGAATGCCGTGTACCCAGATGCACGGAATGCCATCGGTAAGGCCACGTAAGCGTAGACTCTGTTCGCACCTACGCAGTGATCACCCAAGAACGGAACGGCGAAGATACGAACGACTTTCAGATGAATGAGGCAGAAGCGGAGGACGCGACAGAAGGGGTCATGTCTCGGAACCCTAGAACCAAAGGAGCAAGCGGAACCGCCCTCCCTGCGAAACAGGATGACGCAGCGGGGAATTCTCAACGCAGCCACCTAGAAAAAAAAAAAAAAAAAAAAGAGACGAAAAAGGGAATGGCGACGTGTCTCTTCAAGCTACACAAGGGGTGCAGAAGACTGCGACGACTGCTATGGAAGAACACGTGAGCCACGGAGGGGGAGACCGGAGGGATTGAATACATGGACAGCGACGGCCAACCAGGCCGAGAAACGGCAATGAGACCAGGTACCACAAGAGGCCTCGCCTGAAGACAAGTGGGGTGGCGGGTTGATGTGGAACCGGGCGGGACTTAAGATATTCCGTATTGTGACCCAAGCTTTGTATACCGGTGGACGACCGAAGTCGTAAGGACTCACTCTAAGTGCTTTCAAACGTGTGCACGTGTTATATGTGAAAGGACTTTTTTAACGGAATGTTTTTGCACGAAGAGCCTTTCACTCTTCACTGTCAAAGTAACCATGGTTGAGTCGATTCCGGCTATCCGTTTTGCCACCTTTGATGCAAGAGGAATAAACTCTCGGAAAAAAAACAACAACAAAAAGAAAAACAGTACCAGTTACAAAGACTTTCAAATGATAAAGATATTGACATATTAGGCCTCCAGGAAACAAAGGTGGAAAACGACGAGGTAATTGAGCAGGCTATAAGACGCTGGCGCCTGTCCGTGTCGTACGTGCCTTTTTTCGTCCTGTTTGTTCGCACTTTTTAACTTTTTAATCTATATGAACCAACTAGCCCCAACCAAAGTTTTATTGTATAGGACCCTTTTTGGGGGTGCAAATACGAGATATGTGTCAGTCATGCAGTCGGCATGTCCGCATGCCCGCTTTTTATTTCTTGCGAAAAGATAGATCTGACCTAGTTGAGAATTACCACAGACGACGCAGACCGTCTTATTATATGTGAATCACCTAAAAAAAAAAAAAAAAAGAAGAGCCGTGGCGGATATGGCGGGACCGAAACGAACTAATGAAAGAGAAGTCTTTTTTTCGACACTTAGTGCAATAGTTAAATTGTGAAAGTCATGTTGTTTTTTTATGAGATTTTAATTGTGTGTGTAGCGTGCAGGATAGGGCTACTACAAATCGACTTTACGATAGAAGTGCGCATTTCTTGAAAACTATGTTGGACGAGTATGAGTTGGAAGATGTCGCGGAAACGCAAGCTTCGAGAAACAAACTGCGCTTTACCCATTTCAGTTGTCATATCAAGCACGTTAGGCAGACTGTATGTTTCTGTGGAACTTAGCACTCATCCAATGGCGTATTTTGTCAAGCCGATCTTTTTCAGCGATCATTGCCTCGTGAAGGAAAAACCAGCGCGGGAGTTTAATTGACAACTTTGGAGACTTAATGTCACACTACTCAAAAAATGTTTACATCAGGAGTAATTGACGTTTTAAAGAAAGTAACTGCGAGTAAGTGTGGAACTTATATGGAAAAAAGGGAGTATTTTAAACAGTAAGTAAAATATCTAGCTATAGAAAAGTCATCGCAATTTTAAATTATAATTCAGTAAAGGAAGAAAATATAACGTAGCACTACTGGCTCGACCTGCTCAATGACGAGAATGACAATCCCGGGAAAAAGACAGCAGAGATAAAACATTGAGGACGCTTAAGCTTCGCCTTTAAAAGTGGAACAGCGTTATCGGGCCCCGTTCACATCGCCTTCTCATTCGCCGTGCAGGTCATGCTCAGCGTGGCCTAATCAGAAGCGTGTGTGGCTCGCAACGAAGGGTCGTGGGTTCGAATCCCTCCAAAAATTCTTCGCATTTTTCTTTAAAACAAAACGAATTACTTTATGTAGTGAAATCATTCGAATCATGCGGCGACCTTTCATTCGCATTCGCAATCTTTTGAGTTGTTTGAAATTGAAGCGCGAGGTCATGTGGCTGTGACGTCATGACCCTATCTACCAATCAGGATTTTCGCATCACGCCACCGACGCCGACTTTTCAACGACACGAGCTCCTTAACGCTCTCGCGTTAAAATCAGTGAAGGTAAAGCTTAAGATAAACAGTACATAAACGTACCTAAACATGACGAACACCACGACCGTGCGCTTTTGAGGCTGTCTGACTGGTCCTATGAGCTCGTAGCGTCGGCTGCCTCTGGAAATGTCTGCGACTTACTATTTAACATGACGCTGTCTCGTGCTGAGAGCAGGCAATCGGGCGGCGCTAACGTTCCTGCTGTTGCAATTCACTGTTCAAGCATAGTCGGGGTTAAGAGTTCAGGGGAAGCTCCCACTGTTTTCCACTTTAGCGGAGCGAAAGCCGGAGAGGAGGCAGCGTCCGCTCTGCTCAAATGTAAAATGGTGTGAGGAGTTTCCCCCGATCCCTTAAGCTGCCACCGACTACAGTAAGGACTCTCGTTTTTTTGTTTTGTTTTTTGTTTTCCTCGAACGTCCTAGACCACATCGTCCATACTGGCTCAGTCCTAGAACTGCCCGAATTTTTCTTGAACTCTTAACCTCCACATCGTCCATACTGGTTCAGTGCTCGAATGTGGCTAAAGACATGCACGAGCGTTTCGTACGAACAGCTGGTCGGTGCGAGTGCGGTCCGAAGGGCACGCATACCTCGTAGAGCTTCTTGCACTCGTACTCGTGGAGCTGCTTCTGGAAGCCGAAGTTTGGGTTGGCGATGCTCCGGGCACCGCGGACGGCCTTGAGCGATTCCCGCCAGTTGAGGCTGGTCACAGACATCACGTACGCCACCGCGATGGTCACGCTGCGTGACACCCCGGCCAGGCTGCGGGACAACGATTCATTCGGACGGATTCTCATCGCACACCCGACCCCCCCTCCAAATAAGGAGGCCATAGTGCCGAGTATTCAGCTTGACCCTAGGGAGGCAAACGTGGATTAAGCGCCGTTCACGCACTTGGAAGTTGCAACGGAGTACGACCGAGGGAGATGAGACCGGTTTTTAAGCCTCTTGCGGCGGCGTAGGATCGGATGCGCTGCTACGGAGCTGGTCCTAAGACGTTGCAAAAGGCTTAAAAACCGGTCTTGTTTCTCTTGGTCGTACTAAGTTGCAGGTGTGTGAACGGCGCTTTAAACACTTATCTCTTTACCGATTGAAGACGAGTCTCAGTCCAGCGCTGGCGTCACGCTCGTGTCAAATCCGGATTCGCCTCCTTAGGGTCACATGGAAGCTTTAAAACTATGGCCTTTTTATCTGGAGACAGTTCTCGAGCGCTATTCGGGTGTAAAAAAAAATCGTATAATTAAGCCAGTAACTAGAGAGCTAGGAAACTTTTCACGAAGGTGTTTTCAGGTGGTGCGTTGATCACACTCAAATTTCGTGAGTGTAGGTTTGTAAAAAGCTAATGCAAGAAAATATATATATATATATATATTTTTTTTTATACGAGGGAGGAAGACAGAAGCAAACCGTCGGGTTGACGATTCTGTTCATATATGTGGCACCCCATGGTACGAAAACTCGAAAGCTGCTTAGAGATGAACGCCCTAAAGCAGATCCAGCAAATCCGAGCGTGTATGGTGCGATATACGAGTAGCAGCGTCAACCCGGCAGTTTACCTCTTTTTTCCTCCCGGGCATTGAGATAAATTTGTTTTTTTTAGAAGTTTGCATTTATAAAATATGAGTGCGATCAATGCACTACATAAAATAGGGTTGTAAAAATTTCCATGGCACCCTGTTCACTAGCTTATTTTTACGAATAGTGCACGAGAACAGCCTATAGGCGGTGTTGACCTGACACGCGCAGATGCTCTCTGAAAGATTCTACTTCGCCTACCAGCTTTTTAGGGAATTGGACAGCACAGTCCCAGAGTTGGACACACGGTTTGCGACAGAGTTCGATACGTCAAACACTCGAACGACAACTTTGAACTTTCTTGTCTGCCCTTTCTCGTTGGCGGCCCTTCAAGTGCCACTCGGTGAACATATCAGCGCTGACCGCAAGCGTGCGCCTCTTGTTGGTGACCTTGACACCCCGTGTGACGGTCAGAGACCCTCGGTCTAAAAGCGCTCCATGCTCGTGCCTTTAGTGCGGTAGATACGAGCAAGCTTGCGCGTCTAACAAGATACACACCGAAAAGCGCTCCAAAACCGCTCCATGTCGACCAAGGGAATACCCCAACTCGCGCCTTTAGCACACTGGCCGCGAGCAAACATGTTTGCCCACACGCAGTGCAGCTGAAGCGTGACCAGGTCGCCAATACGTTTGTTTCGGGTTTTGAACAAAGCAGCTGTTTGAATGTTCGCCAAGTGGCACTCTAGTTGATATATAATAGATTAGAGAAATGTAATAACAATGAGTGTGCAGGCGAGGTTGTGACAATGAATCACTCACTGGAACACCCGAGACTGGGGTGCGGAAAAATGAAACTTTCAAGTCGAAGAAAAAGACAGCCATTAGAAGAACGTCTTTTTCTTCGACTTCAAAAGGTCTTCGTTTTTCCGCACCACAGTCTCAGGTGTTACATTATGATGGGAAAATGGGTAGATTTATCGACGACAGTTTCTTCCAGTGCTTTCCTCGTGGAATATTTTTGAGGCGCGTATTTTTTTTTTGCCAGAAAAAGTGGGATCCTAGTTTTGGTTTTGGTTAGAAAAAAAGGTAAAAGCTGACACGGTTGAGCATTTTTAGCCGCAAAACAAAAATTTAAGTTGGAGGTTATTCCTCTCGTCGCACAAAATACAGTTTTTGTTTTCACTTTCTCCAAAATAAAACATATCTAGGGTTACGCGTTTTTTTATTTGATTTTGTTTTTTGTAAATATCGATAAACCCCGAAATTCAACCTCCCGGGCGGTTTAATCCAAATCGGGGAAAACCTATAAACCCCGAATGGAAGCTGTCCTTGAACAAGAAAAAACCCTAGCTTCACGGGAAAAAAATCTTTGTCTCCGTAGCTTAATCTTACTGTGACTCAGAACGCAGCGCCCAGAGAACTCTGCGCGAGGCCTCTGCTCGCTTCACAAGCACACATCTCGTTTCTTTTTCGATCAGTACCAGAAAGTATTCCAAGTATTCCGCTCGCGTTCCCTGGAGCTTGGGGAATCCCGTGTCCTACTTTCATGAACACAAGCCCCCAATAAACCCCGATCTTTTGTCCGACACCATATATTGATACCGAAAAAACCCAGAATCTAAAAGAAAACATTAATCCGCCAAAAAAAAAAAATTGAAGAAAACTGAAGCACGAAAAAACAGAACCCATGGCAACAAGGTTGGTTCGGGTTTTTCGGGGGCAGCGCTATTTAGAGAAGGACGCTTAGCTGATGGTAAGCATGCGGCACGGTTGAGTTGCCTACCAGTGGATGAGCACATTGCCCCCTTCGATGCGGGCATGGTGGATGAAGTCGTTGGACTGCGAGAAGAATTGCGTCAGGTTCTGGCCCGGGGTGTCGGACGCTTGGATGCACAGGTACTCCTTGTCCTGGCAGAGAAGGACAACTCTCGCTCACAACCTGCCGCATTTGTCCATAAAGTTCCAGTACTTTCTATAGCCTTAGGGGCAAAATAAATACAAGAGTAAGGGACAAGATATGAAAAAAAAACCGATTAACGAACGCGAAAAAAAAATTACTAGCGTTTCCAGCGTTAGAATGGCAGCAAACGTAAAAAAAAAGTGTCAACATTAAAAGTTACCGCCGAATACAACACAAACTAATGCATAAATAACAACACATCCGGCGCAGTTAGAGGAATGAATGAAATGAGCAACATTTAGGTGAATGATATACACGGAGCTTCAAGTAATTTGAAAGCCTGTGCTAATGTCGACAATGACGCCTGGAAGGTCGTTTCGGTCGCAGATCCAAGGGGGATTCGTAATTAAAGTCGACGCAATTAGCCTGCATTTATTATTTGTAGAATCAACTGGGACACGGTAGTTAAACGTTCCTTATTATACGCCTCGCAAGTGGGCTCATTTTCGTCTTCTGCGCATGAGAAAGGAAGTAGCGGTGACGTCAGAACGCCGAGTCCTGATTGGCTGATCGCGACCCCCCTTTCTCAGCGTCGTCTGCTCCTTTGCAACGTCGTCTGCTCGCAACATCGTCTGCGTCTGTCTTACCTTTCCTGCGACTTTCGGAGCGAACTCGACTTGGCCTTTAAGGGAGGGCAGACGAAATAACTCGAGCGGTACGTTGTTTTCGTCTAACAACTAGCAGACGCGCATCAAGAAGGGAAGTCAAAGGACTCACTGGCGAGGTGTCCCGGGGCGCCGAGGTTTGTTTGCTTAGTGTCCGCAAGTTCCCTCCCAAATACTTTTTACCTCCATTCGTGTGCGGCGAGACCCCTCACTCTTTAACGGCGCCGGCGGGTTGGCGCAGTTAACGTCGTCTGCTTTACGTCTGCTAGTCAAAGCGATGGCTGCTTTACCTTTCCTGCGTCTGTCGGAGATTCGCCGCTTTTTCACCGGCGAGAGTCACCGTTGCCTCGGGAAACAAGGAGATAAAAAGAGGAAGAAATTGACCTCTTAATCTAAAATTGAGGTCAGCGATCAAAGTATAACACGGGAAGGGTTCACAAGGGTCGCGCGGGCATATTCCATTCAGCACGTCAGCCGGTCGTGGGCAGACGGTCGCCGAGTCGCGGAGTGCCTGCTAGGCCTAACTGCCCAGCTCGTTTGGTCGCGTTCGGTGGAATCGTCGCCGTTGGAGCTTTTCCCCGGTGTCTGTGGATCCAGCGTTCTTGTTCGTCGTGCTCTGTTTCAAGTAATTTTTACTTTTTTTTTTGCTGCTTGAAGTCAGGACGCGTGAGAAGCTCACGTAGAAAAATAAACGTCCGTGGGTCGTCGCGACCGCGACGCTGTCGGCCATGCTGACTTGATCGTAAGAAGTGCGTAAGACAGCTTCGGAGCTGTCGTAGGATTTCGCCGTAACCTGCGCAAAACTTATGAAAATTTCGTTTCGTGAATACGAATTTGTTCTTAAGTTTTGTCTTACGCACATTTTTGGCGTAAGATCGTTTCGTGAATCTGGCCTCTGCACTTCCGAAAGTCGCAGGAAACGTAAGACAGACGCAGACGACGTTGTGAGCAGACGACGTTGCAAAGAAGCAGACGACGCTCAGATAGGGGGGCTCGATCAGCCAATCAGGGCTCGGCGTTCTGACGTCACCGCTACCCCCCTGCGCAAGGAGCAGACGAACTTGCCCTCCGCATAAACCCGGCACTAGGAACAAAATAAAATAAAACCCGGACAACCATACACGATGTCTAAAATTTTTGACGTTGTGTGTGGTTGTCCCTTTATTATTCTGCTCTTAGTTTTGGTCAAATTATAGTAGATGTCATGCACCATATATCTTGAGTTTTCAGCATTTCTTCGTAATTGGACGTAGCGATTTGTTGCAAGTCGTAGTTGGAGAGAGCTTTCGTTTTCGGTAGGAGTGAAGCGGAAAATAACTTACTCCTTCCTCCAGCCCCCCCCCCCCTCCCCCCCCCCCCCCCCCAAAAAAAAAAAGAAAAGAAAAAGAAAAAAAAAAGAAATTGTGCTTTTTTTACGTACATTTCAACTTTAAATATACGTTTGGCGGCACTTTACTGTTGCTTCAACGTATACGCTCGAAAATCGAAAGCTCTTTGGTTCATGTGTATACTGTCAGGTCAATGCTCTTGCGCGTTGACTGTTGTCAAGTGCCGGCGTAGCTGGACTTCCCTACTGCGATTAAGTAACTGTCACTGTGAGGCAGAAACAAACATTGTTAGGCGTGACAAACCATTTAATTTAGGTTAATATTATATTTTCCGGTGCTATCTTCATCCCCGAGACTCAAAGAGAAAAACTGGCTCATCCATTATTGACGAATTGAACGTGAATTGAACATGATTGTAAACCTGAGACTGGGGCAGAAAGAGAACACAACAGAAGGTAGTAAAAGAGGAGGCAACGTCTCAAACTCAGCTGCAAAGTTTATTTCGAACACGTTTTATATACCCCATCTCCAACGCCGTCTCTACAAAAACAAAAACAAAAAAAAAATAACAAACAAAAAAACATGACAAGAGGACAATGACACTTCGGTAAACCTTCTCTTATCTCCCTTGACCTTGGCTCTGGGACACTCACACAAAGGGTCGCATTCTAGCATAACCACCGCCACCCGGCGAACGTAGGTGAAAACACTACTCAACACAAAGAAAGGGTTTGACCTTCAAAGGTGCGTTCCCTCTAACAAATCACTCAGTCCAAAGAAACAATACTATACACTGCTAACAGCCGGAACTGGGGCCATCTCCAAAAATGAGAACGACATTGCCCTCCTACCACGAACCACAAATGGATAACACAGCGACTTTCTCGAACAAGTCCAAGGATACACTTTTTTTTTTTTTTTTTTGTAGAGACGGCGTTGGAGATGGGGTATATAAAGCGTGTTCGAAATAAACTTTGCAGCTGAGTTTAAGACGTTTCCTCCTCTTTTACTACCTTCTGTTGTGTTCTCTTTCTGCCCCAGTCTCGGGTTTACAATCATGTTCTACTTACACCAGCTCGCCTGCACTCTGACTATTTTTTTGAACGTGAATATTTGACATATGTTTGTCTGGTTGGGGCAAGACTAATTAAGAGGGGGTCGGTCCTACCCGACGTCTCGAGGCCTACTCGGCCTCTTCTTCAGGGGTGACTGTGACTGTGGCAAGATGTTGTGTACAGGATTTCCTGCGCAGATTGCCCAGCCACGTACATCGACTAAAGCAAGAACTTTCGGGAGAGGGTCCGCCGGGGCCAAAACGACGTTCGCAATTTCGATCACGAGCACATCGCTGTCGCTGAATACTGCGACGTCAAGAACCACCGGACTGACTTCAAGAACACCCAAATTTTCAAAGTTGAAACTATCCACCAACAAATACTTCATGGCGCATTCAAACTACGTCAGAAAACATCAATAGGTTTTTGGGAGCTTTGCCATTCGCCTACGTCGACGGGCTTCGCAGTATCACCAGCCCATAGAGAAATGCACCATCATAGAAGAAGAAGAAAAAAAGCGAAAATACTGCTCCCCAACGGCCATCGCCACAGTCACTCCTGAAGAAGAGGCCGTGTAGGCCTCGAAACCTCGGGTCCCTCAGCAGAGCTTGGTTGGACGTCCCCCCTTTTTCATTAGTCTCGAGACTTGACGAAGCATCTGCGGAGCCTCCAAGGTGGCTTCCCCGCATTATGATGTATATTGCGGGGAAGCCACCTTGTTTTTAACATAGACTACGCTTTTGCTGAAACTTGGTGAAAACGTAAGACGGAAATGTGAGACGTGAAAGTGAGGTGCCGAAGCGTAAGGGCAGAAAGAACATAACGCATATAGTGTCACCACCGCAGCTGGGCCCTCCGCTGCTACAGTGAGCATACATATGCAGCGTGCATTGGCATCGGAAGTCGCGGCATAAGTAGTAATCATACTATGTCAGCGTGGTGAATAAAGATAAGACTAGGCGCATAAACAATTGCACCGAGACTTACCGACCCGGAAGCGTACGAATGACGATTTTTTCAGGCAGGAGCAAAGTACCGCGCGATTTTTTTGTTTTGTTTGTTGCCTTCGCCAAGAAAGGAGAGATACGACTGGCGGCGAATGGTACGTCAATGCTGTATTAATAATCTTACCTCGTTTTGTTTATTGGTACTGAATCAAATGAGGGCTGGAGATCAGGGACGGATTTTGGGTTAGGCTTGGGAGTCAGTAGGGAAATCTGACGTCAAGGACGAATATGACGTCATGGGCGAAGCGTTTCCCAGATCTGTTTTGTTGACCTAATTAATCTTCGTCATTTTACCAAAAACTAGACGTTTCTTCCTAAAAAAAAAAAGCTAATGGATGACTTTTTTTTTTTTACATAAAAAGGTGCTCTTGGGGCGCTTAGAAAGAACGGCCCCCATTCCCCCTCCCCTTAAATATGCCCTTGCCGGAATCAATTTTCGACTGTATATGCATAGTGTGGGGAAGACAATACTACCACATGAAATTGAGGGACTGAAAAATTACTAATGGAAGTAGGGATTAAAAAAAACTGTAAAAAGCAACGTATACGATCGTTCAACAGGAAATATGTCTTTAGAACTTAGTAATAACTCAATAAAAGAACCCGCAGTAAAGGGTTGACGTTAGCGTCCCGTTGAGCGATGCTCTGATAATCTGTGAGGTCTTCAGTAGGCCCCGCAATAGTGGCCCAAAGTCACGGACTGACCTGATGCGGTCAGAAAGTAATAAGAACTAACTGATAATATATTGAGATTATTAATACAAAGGGTACGCAAGGAGAGAATAATCGAAAAAAATTAAAATGGAAAATGATGTGTGATGACTGTCATCGCAACCGGTCTGCGAAAACTCTGAATAGGTGAATACAGTAAGGGTGCAGATGAACTGGTGAATATTAACCCTGTTGAATTAACCTGAGACTGTGTTAAAGAAAAACATCAAAAGTAGAAAGGACATAAAATAGACAAGACGACGTCTCAAACTCAGCGAATTCCTTTATTTAGGACACCTCTTGATATTGTCTCAAACTCAAGGTTATCACCACCAACACTGAAGGACGAAGTTTATACAGTTTAAGCTCCACAATTTCCCTCACACAATGTAAGAATGGGGACAAACTTACAGGTCAACACGCTACGGTAACACTTATCCACTTTCAAAACTTGAACAAAATGATCATTCACCCCTTTCTATTCTCAACATCGTTCCCACTTCTGCCATAAAAGACGCCCTCTCCACCTAATACGCCCCCCCCCCCCCAAAAAAAAAAAAAAATCGAAACGTTTTTTGGGTCAGCACGACGTTGGAAAACGAAAAAAGCAAACTTCGAAACAATCCCAAAAGAATTAAAGAAAGAAAGAGTGCCTTACAATCATTCCGGACAATCAGAACATGCGCTCCCTGTTCACTTTTCGGGAGATTACATTTTAAAAGTTTTTTTTAATTGCTTCTGACTTATAGAGGAGCCTGATTTACACAATTGCCTAGATATTTTATCCACAGTCTCTCCTACTACTCTCCTCAAAGCCAGACCGACTTCACGCTGTATAAATACGAACGTCAATTTTGTTTTTGTGATGGCGTGTTATGAAACAGCGTTTTTCTTCTCGTGCTGAGCATGTCGAATATTGTAGACACATTATTTTATATATGCACTTGCGGTTTATTTCTAGAGTATACGTTTTCCTTCTTCTTGACTCAGCTACTGGCATAGAATATGTCTTGAATTGAATATAAAACTTCAAAATGGTTAGCTTTTTATAACTTGAGTATTCAGCAATTTTGAGCTCTCTATGTTCAATTTGCGGCAAGTACAAACAATCGACTAACCCCCAAAGAGCAAGCAAACTATGCCTTGAAATTCGCCTGGGACCATATTGTCCGGGCTTGCGCTTAGGATCATTTTGTCCGGGGACATTTTGACTGGGACAATTTTGACCGGGACCATTTGTCCGGGGCCATTTTATCCGGGATCATTTTGTTTGGAACGATTTTGTCCGTATCCCCTATCTGCCATGTCTTACTCTCATTAATGACCGCACAAAAAGGCAGGCTTATGGTCTTTTAGGGGAAAAAATCTTGATGCTTAGTGTTGATACATTTTGCTGCATCCTTGAATTTGCTTTGCGACAGTTGCTACATCATTCAATATAAGTCAGACTTTGCTACAGTGCGGAAGCAATTAAAAAATCCCTTTAAAAAAGTAATTTCCATTTTTTCTTTTTTCTCGAAGAGTGTGCAGGGAACCCATGTTCTGATTGTCCGGAATGGGATCCGGACATTTCGGCGTAAAACGTTTCGGTGCAGGGCGTTTCGGTGTGGTTTTTTCGGTACACGGACTTTTCGGTGCACGAACATTTCGGTGTACGGACTTTTCGGTGTACGGACTTTTCGGTGCACGGACTTTTCGGTGCACGAACCTTTCGGTGTACGGACTTTTCGGTGTACGGACTTTTCGGTACACGGACTTTTCGGTGCACGAACATTTCGGTGTACGGACTTTTCGGTGTACGGACTTTTCGGTGCACAGACGTTTCGGTGCACGAACTTTTCGGTGCGCGGACTTTTCGGTGTAAGACGGTTTGGTGTACAAACGTTTCGTGCACGGACATTTTGTGTAATATGTGCCTTGAATTATTTTTATGATTACAGTTGAATTTTTGTATCTGTAACAGTATTTTACTTTTTTTAGCAATTTGCAACCTCTCCAATGAGAGCAATTCTCAATTTTAAAGCAACGTTCTCGGCTCACTGATTTTTTTGGTAATATATATATATATATATATATATATATATATCATTAAAATTTCGAAGTTGAAACCATGGCTGAGTTTAGAACAAGGCAATGATCAAGTCCTTCCAGTGAAAACGCAGAGTCACTCGCCAAACATTTGGTGCCAGTAGTTTGAAGAAACCATATTGCAAATATGATTTTCTTGAGTTAATTCTCTTAAACGCAACACCAGCCACACTCACACAACTTCAGTCACTATATAAACCATATATAAAACTAATTTTGCATGTCCTTGTGGGGGACCCGGTCAACTGACCGAAAGATTCGCCGTTAGTGAGTAGAAAACGGTATTTTTTTTAAGTCGCAAGCTTCGAAAGACAACTGCTATTGAAACTCATCAAAATGTAAATGATGAGACAACAACAACAACAAAAAAAATCAATAAGCGGTGAACTTCTCATTCGTTTATGTGTATTTCTGCGACCCAAAGTTTAGAATAAAAGTAGCATTGAAATTAATCGATTACTTCGGTATAAATTTTCTATATCTTTTGTGAAGTCACTTTTTTAGAAATCCACAAGACTTTGGAGGAAAAAATATCGTATTTTGATTGTCTACGCACCGAAATGTCTGTGCACAGGAATGTATACGCGTCGAAAAGTTCCATACCGAAAATTTCGTACACTGAAAAGTCCGTGCACCGAAAAGTCAGTGTACCGAAATTTCCGTGCACCGAAATGTCCGTGCACCAAAAAGTACGCACCGAAACGTCCTACCTTGACCCAGAGAAGGGGAAAATGATCCTTTTGTTCAAGTTTGAAGGAGGATGGGTGTTAGCTTAGTGTGTCGACCTGTAAGGTTGTCCCCATTCTTACATTGCGCCATGAAGGTTGTGGGGCTTCAACTGTATTCAGTGTTGGTGGTGATGTTCAGTATTGGTGGTGATGAACTCGAGTTTGAGACTATATAAAAAGGTTGACTAAATAAACGAGTCAGCTGAGTTTGACACTTCGTCCTGTCCCTCCTACGTTTTGATGTTTGGATATTACGTCCGGCCGGTGTCCTTATTTTGATTATAACGTCTTCCGGCTTTTGGAGTACTTTTGCGTTTCTCTTCTACCCCAGTCCCAGGTTACTTGAACACGATCTGAACAGGTACACGACCTCTGCGTGCACCGTGGCGAGTCTTGCCCCAAACTGGCAAGTCTTGCCCCAAACCGGCGAGCGGGTCTGCGGTCCCTCGGCCAGCACCAGTCCCAGCGCATGCCCGTGTCTCTCGGGTCGTTCATTCGTCGCCCAGTTTTCCGGCGACGGTCGTTCAACTCGAGCGCCAGCAGCGGGCGCGTGCTATCGCAGCGAGCCCCGGGCGCAGGCCCCGGGCGCTATTCCTGTCGATGCAGCGCCGGGCCGAAAAAAAGCCATCCGAGACACCGCGTCGATTAGGAGCCGCTTTTGTTGACGGTGGCAGGCTTTCGCGTGACCGGATCCGCGTGCGGGTCACGAGTCTTTCGGCGGCACCGCACGGCTAGCTCTGAGCGTCCGTCAATTTTTGGCGCCAGCGTGGCCCAGTTTTTGGCAGGTGGCTCGAGGCGGGCAATCGCTCCCTTCGCCTCTCGGATCGATGTTCCCATGTCCCGACCGCAGATGTTCGTGTCAGAGTCCCATTTGTGGTGTCTTCCTCTTTTTTTTTTACTCTTTTCCGACTGGAGCGCAGTAGCTCAGGCGGGGCAGTTGGTTTGGACGGTGTTTCGTGTTCGCGCTTTTACTTGATTGCTTGCTCCGAGTCGGTGTGCCTGTACGCGGCTGCTCGCGTGAGCCGAGGCAACGTTGCTGCGTACGCCGGACCGTGGCGAGTTTCGCGCGCGAGTGTTTCCTGAATGTTTGCCTTCCGGCGACGCTGGTGACTGCTTTCGTTATCCGTGCACAGGACACGCTTTCGGTGTCGCGGTCATTTCCTCGTCTTTAGCGAAGTCGGACGCTTTAATGCGCTCCGGAAAGATACATCGGTACCAGGTTTGCTATTCGTAGAAACATTCTTTTGTCTACAACGTTTGTATGTGTGCGTCCATCGGAAGATGCTTCGCCTGATAGTCATAGTTTGGTGTGCAATAATGTTGGTTTAGGGCTGAGGAGGAAACAAAAATTGTTATCATGGATGCGAAAAATCATAAACTGCCTTCTTCTGAGAGCACGTCTGGGCTGGTATTCACGAAGCAAATGCTAATGCTCTAAGCAAATTCCAATCTGTGTTACTCCGGTACACAAACTGACATTCACAGGCGAAAAAATAATCGCTCGGGACAGGCACATCCGTGGCTGCGAGACTTTTGTCACCACCCGTTCGCAGGCGAGACGTTACTCCCCAAAGTATTGCGCAATCTTGCACTCGCTAACTGATCGAAACTGATCTTTCATCGACAGCGGTCGCCCAGAAACTAGCTGTCACGTCACGCGTAATTAGCAACCACGGAGGCTTTAGCTCTCGCGGGACCCAAATCGGACGTAAACAACTGGTTGGCAGCGCGCGTACCTCGTGCAGTTTGCGCGCCGTGTCGTGGATGGAAATGATGTGCGTGATGTTGTTGGCCCGGAGCTGTTCCGGGTCCTTGGAGTCCCTGAAGTTGCCGATGAAGACTCCCGGCAGCACCTGGCGAGGACAGGCAGGGCGAGAAGGGCAACGCACTCGCTACGGGCCACACCGGACAAAAGTGCCGATCCGACGAGTTCGCATTTGGAAGGAACACGGCAAACGATGCGTCGTTTCGCAAGCAGCGCTCCCCATGCTCTCCAGTCATGCCCTCGCGCCTTCCGAGTATGCCCCGAAGCCAGTCACTGAGGTCTTCGGAAGGAGACCTCGGTCACTGGCATCCCAGTTCTGAACGCGAAAACAAGGCCTGCGCGCAGGCAGCGTGCATTGCGCGTCACATTCTCAATGGAAAATTTTAGTACACCGTACGCTGCGTATTGCGGGCTTAGCGGGAGCGTGCTTAGTCCATGCTTCAAGGTGACGTCACCAGCTCCCTCTAGCAACGCAAAGCTCTAACGTACAGTCTACTACTCGTCTCTAAGTGCGCGTTTGGGTCCACAGGTCATCCGGACATCTTTTCGTAGATCGAAGTGACTGGCTCCCATTCGCCGGAGCATGGGGAGGACAAGTGGGCGTACCTTGTTCATGCCATTACCCATCTTGCGTTGGTTGCGGCCTGCTCCCATTTGAGCAACATAGCGGGCAAGGAGCCCTGAGCGGGGGGGTGACGACGGAGGTCGGGGCTTCCTCTCAGCTGCGCTCGGGCGCTAGGGCTCGTCGTAGTTCGGGACGGCTGGGACACAGGGGACACGGCGCCTCGGCGGCGACCAGTGGCGTCGGCCGGACTGACTGCGTCGTCATCGCTCCAGTGCGGGCCAGCTGTTCACGGGTCGGAACGAGATACAGCACTCACTCACGGCACAGTCAACTCTTTTGCGCTCTCAGAAAAACGGGGCCCCTGCATCTACTCCCCCAGGAGAGCTCTCCAAGAGCACTGCTGTCTGCGGAGGGAGCTGTGACTCTGACACCGCGCACGACGTTTCACGAGCGCCATGCCCGCACCGGAGGCTTTTAATAACGCGATACCGTTGAGGAGCTCGCGTCGCACAAGAGGCAGCATCGGTGGCACAACGCTAAAATCCTGATTGGTCGACAGGGTCATGACGTCCCATCCACAAGACCTCGCGTGGGAATTTCAAACAACCCACAATGCTCACGTGAAACGTGACGTCACGCGTTGAATGAAAGTGAATAAAACGTGGCATGTAAAGCGAACTAAATGTCGTCGCATGTCTCAGATGATTTCATTTTAGGCGGGATTTGAACCCAGGACCCTTCGGCTGCGAGCCAGCCAAGGTACTGGCCAGGCCGCGCAAGGCACACTTGCAGGGCGAATGAGAAGGCGATGCGACGGGGCCCGATAACACTTCGCCTTTAAGAGTGGAAAGCTATCGCGTTCCACTCTTAAAGGCGAAGCTTAAGCGTCCTCCAAGTTTTTTTGGACGTAACGTTTTTTCGTCCTTGTCATTCGCCCAGCCCCCTCAGCAGAAGGCTGTGATTGGCTCCCCGAGTGGTCTGCAACAAAAGGGATCAACTTTGTTGCAGACCACTCTTGTCTGTAGTCGGTGACAGGCTAAGAGTCAGTGTTGGAAACTTTCCGAAGAAAGTACAACTCCCGACTTCAAATTACATTTCCCTCATTTGTTCTTGTTAATTTTGTATCACGAAATGATGCTTTGTAAACTCCGTAGAAATACTGGGAGGGATATTCTACTCTGACCAGAAACGTGAGCAGACGACGCATCGCTCCGCTTGTTCTGGGGGCGGCCTTCCCGCACTTTTTCGAACTCCCACTACATCTCGCTCGGTCAGCGCGAGCGAGGAGGTTACAAATATCAGGGGAGCGAAATTCATCATGATGTAGCACCTGAAACTGGGTTGCGGAAAAATGAAACTTTCTCAAGTCGAAGGAAAAGGCAACAGAGGAGAACGACCCAATGTTTTGAGACATTCTCGTTTCCTTCGATTAGAAAGTTCCATTTTTTTTTCTCACCACAATCTCAGGCGTCACGTTACAATTAACTATCACCAGCTCGGCCACACGCTCAGTGTTTTTTTTTCTTTTCATGAAGGAGAGGAACACTCCCTTTTTTGCGAGAGGATTGCTTGCGGAAGCTACGGGACCGACGTCATGCTCTCTCCTAGTGCATTTAACCCGCTCGGGTGCAACGAAACAGTGATAGCGGCGCCAATTTCAGAAGACTTCTGAATGTGGCGTCATTTCTTAAAACGACTGCTCTGTGGCCACTTGACTTTATCCAATATCCGCCGCCGTTTCCGAAAATAGGTCACGCATTCCCGATTACCCCAGGGGCAATCCATAGCATATAAAAATACAGAAACAAAAAAAAAAAAACACACTATGGGACGGAAGGGCATCATGAAAAATTGCGTTCAAAAGTACTTGTACTTTTTTTTTTTTACTTTTTTTTTTTGCAAGGTAAGAATGGCAATGCCGAAACAATGGTGTTCGCCAGAGCCCTTCGTGGAAGTAAAAATGTGTCCCCGCATATAGTCCCGTATTTCTTGAAAAGGGCGAGGTTCACTGCGACTCCTGCAGTTCGCACGAATTCTTGACCCGCTTGCTGCGCGCTTCGGAAATTCAACTTTTTTTGACGCGAGCCTGACAACTTGAAGATTGCAATGGGAGGGTCGTGCACTACTTCTCTGAGAAGTGGTTTTGCGTTTCTGCACAAAGACCGCGAAAAATATTTTTTTTCTTGCCTCATAGGTTTTTGGGTTTATCCTATTATTGACACTCTACTTCGTATTTAGATACGTGTATATATTTCTTTAAAAAAGATGTAAGTTACCGAAATATTTGGACACTAAACGTTGTCTATGAATTGTAATTTGCTGTGCCTTGTATATAAGAGGCACAGAAATACTAAGGGTCTTACTAGGGGGGCTTATATAGCCCCCTATTAAGTAAGTCCGCTGCGATAAAGCCGCATATTTTACCACAGGCATCCTGCTGTTCGATTGATTCTCCGGTCGACGTAATGACCCAGTTAATAGCAATGACAGAAGCAGTGCGAACGGATTGTATCGTTATCGGAGGAGTCTTTAATGTGCCAAATATTGTCGGAAACGAGCAGGGTAGAGCTATCGCAACTCCTGGGCGAGTGAATCAAGAAATGGCTAACTTGACAGATCTATTTGCACTCTGACAAATGGTGATGAAACCAGCACGTGGAAGTAATATTTTAGATGTATTACTAATCAATCAGCCCCACCTGGTCCGTTCTACCCTGGTTGTGCCGGGAATTCGCGATCACAGTGCTGTGATCTGCCAGATGAAGGTAGAGCATGTGAAAACAAGGAGAGGTGTAGCTAGGCGAGTGTACAACTTTGAGAAAGCTGACGTAAATAGGATAAACGGAGGAACGAATGCGTATTATGCAGTGTTTGAAACAGAAGCAAAATACAAAGGGGCGTCTGAAGTATGGCTTCCGCTTAAAGACAAAATTTGTGAGCTCAGACAGCGTTTCGTTCCATCAAGGATACTTACAACAAGAGAGGGTCGAACTAGGCCGTGGTTTTCAAGAGCACTGCGCAGTCTTACACAATAACGACAAAAAATATATCGTAATTACTGCAAAACGCCGACCCTTGTAAATTTTGAAAATTAAAAAAAAAAGTAGCATGTGAATTAAAAAAAAGAAAAAAGAAGACATTTGCACAGCCAAATATATGTTTGCTACTTCTATTGATTCGCGACTAAAAGACAACCCGGAAAGGTGTTGGAAACATGTAAAAAGAAATGGAAAAGATGTCATAGCCATTTCGCCGCTCACTTTCAGTGATGGCGTTGTCCATTATGACATTGCTAAAGCAGAAACATTTAATCAGTACTTCAGTTCTGTTTTCACTACCGTAATATCAAGCGACGACGGGGATTGACAGGCGGTCCGAGAAGGGAAAGGGGATACGGATGATATTGTAATCAGTGAACGTGGAATCGAATCGCTGTTGCAGGGACTGAATACTTCTAAACCAGGAGGTCCTTACGGTTTACCAAACCACATTTTTAACCTCTGTGCGCAATCGCTATCACATTTTCTAAAAATACTTTTTAATAAATCACTGAACAAAGCTCGCCTTCCTAGATGACTGGAAAAACGCTGCAGTCGTTCCAATTCACAAATCTGGTCCTTGTAATGACGTCGCAAATTACCGCCCGATATCGCTAACGTGTGTTGCGTGTAAAGTCCTAGAGAACATTTTGTATACGAGTATCGTAGAGCACATGAATAGGCATTGTTTACTTAATCCCCGTCAGCATTGTTTCAGGAGAAGACTATCCTGAGTAACACAACTAACCGATTTTACTCTTGACCTGGCCTATGCTTTAAAAAGGCGTCTCTCAATAGATTGTGAATTTTTAGATTTCAGGAAAGGCTTTTGATACGGTACCTCACTCCTTACTAAATGGAAAACTGAATAGCTACAATAGTAGTCCGCAAGTAGTCTCCTGGGTCGCCAAGTATCTGAGGCAACGAAACCAGTTTGTCGTTGTAAGTGGTTCACAGTCGTCTACTGGGCAAGTCGCATCTGGTGTACCACAGGGATCGGTCCCAGGGCCACTTCTGTTTCTGTTGTACGTTAATGATATCACCGAAGGAGTAGTGTAGCGGATGAGGCTGTTCGCAAATGACCGCGTTTTGTATGGGGCCGTCCTTGTGTAGAGGGTGCTAATAGCATACAGCGGGTTCTTAACCGAATTAGCCAGTGGTGCCTCAAATGGCGTGTACAGTTAAATTTAGGGAAAACTGTTTTTATGTCATTCACAAGAGAAAAAAAGCCCGTACGCTTCTTCTTATGCCATAAATAAAATATTTTATCGAGAGTGTTAGACTAAATATCTGGAGGTAAATTACACGACCGACTTAAAATGGCGTACGCACGATGATTGCGTAGTGGTCAAGGCTGGTAAAACGTTAGGGTTTCTCCGTCGTAATGCCTCAATACAGACGCTCGAGAATTACTCAATAAAACATATGTCAGATCAGTTATGGAATACGCATGTGTCGTCTGGGACCCGCCTACAGCACGTGACAAAATGAAACTAGAAAGACTGCAGAACTTAGCCGCTCGGTTTGTTACCGGGAACTACACTATATATATATTTCAGCGCAACACGCACAAAATATATCTTAAAATGGGAGTTCCTCTAAACTCGCAGAAGAAGACTTCGTTTGAAGTTATTTCACAGCATTTACCATTCGACAGTCGGCATACAAAGAGACATGTGTATAATGCGGCCCCACTATCAATCGGAGCGTGTTGAAGCATACTTTAAAGGTGCAAGAAGTTTCGTTCAAAACAGAGGTATTTAGGATGTCATTTTTTCCAAGAACTATCTATGAGTGGAATCGATTGCTTCCGCCTGTGGTTGGTGTACTATCAATTAATGACCTTTTTGCTATTTAGATTAAATTTAGCTTAAGTTCTTTATATTAGCTTGTATTCCCTTGCATGGTTTTTAAGCTTTGTTTATATTTTTTTGTTAATAAGCTTTCATTTCCTTGTATGGTTTATAAGGTTTATGTGTTGTTTGAATGGTTCATCTGCTGCGGAGCAGAGGTCTGGCTGACAT